TGTCAATTAAGACAATGAAAATAATCTATTTCCTTTCTCTTTCGTAAATGTAAGATTGTTCAGTTTAGTGTGTGCCAACACAGTATTTAGCAAACTCAAAAGTATTTAGGACCCATTTCCCATTAAAGAATCAAACATTTCATAAATCAAACCCATTTAAACTAAAATAAACACAGATTGGGACATCTAAATAAACACAGATTGTTTAAACTGAAATAAACATAAATCAAACTGAAATAAACAGTTTCCAGAATCTAAATAAACCCATTTAAACTGAAATAAACACAGATTGGGGCATTTAAACTGAAATAAACACAGATTGGGGCATTTAAACTGAAATAAACACAGATTGGGGCATTTAAACTGAAATAAACACAGATTGGGGCATTTAAACTGAAATAAACACAGATTGGGGCATTTAAACTGAAATAAACACAGATTGGGGCATTTAAACTGAAATAAACACAGATTGGGGCATTTAAACTGAAATAAACACAGATTGGGGCATTTAAACTGAAATAAACACAGATTGGGGCATTTAAACTGAAATAAACACAGATTGGGGCATTTAAACTGAAATAAACACAGATTGGGGCATTTAAACTGAAATAAACACAGATTGGGGCATTTAAACTGAAATAAACACAGATTGGGGCATTTAAACTGAAATAAACACAGATTGGGGCATTTAAACTGAAATAAACACAGATTGGGGCATTTAAACTGAAATAAACACAGATTGGGGCATTTAAACTGAAATAAACACAGATTGGGGCATTTAAACTGAAATAAACACAGATTGGGGCATTTAAACTGAAATAAACACAGATTGGGGCATTTAAACTGAAATAAACACAGATTGGGGCATTTAAACTGAAATAAACACAGATTGGGGCATTTAAACTGAAATAAACACAGATTGGGGCATTTAAACTGAAATAAACACAGATTGGGGCATTTAAACTGAAATAAACACAGATTGGGGCATTTAAACTGAAATAAACACAGATTGGGGCATTTAAACTGAAATAAACACAGATTGGGGCATTTAAACTGAAATAAACACAGATTGGGGCATTTAAACTGAAATAAACACAGATTGGGGCATTTAAACTGAAATAAACACAGATTGGGGCATTTAAACTGAAATAAACACAGATTGGGGCATTTAAACTGAAATAAACACAGATTGGGGCATCTAAATAAACACAGATTGTTTAAACTGAAATAAACATAAATCAAACTGAAATAAACAGTTTCCTAAATCTAAATTGTGGCATCTTCAGATTTAACTAATGAAACCATGGAAACCCATTTAAAAAATGAAACCCATTAAAACCCATAACATCACAGATTCCTGGGGCTTTTTAAGTAACTATTTAAGTAATTCAGGAGAAATGTAGAACCTCTATATCTCTCAAGAATAGCTTTAGACATACCTAGATCAGAAATTTGTCCGGCAACATAGTCTTTATTCCCCAGTAAAGGCGATGAGGAAAGAGTATTCACCCGGTACTTATTCCATAGCAGATCCAAGAGGTGGCAGTCAAGTGATGATTTGAAATACGTGATGTCCAATGAATAATACTGCAAAAAACAGCCAGCTTAAGTTATCCAGCTTTAAACCATCATTTCCAGAAAGGAGTTGATGGAAAACAAATTAACCTGTTTGCAATGTACACCAAAGTCTTCAATCTTGTTTAAAGGGATGGTTTGATACTCAGAAACAGGCTCATCTGGAGGTTTATATCCTTCTGGGTATGTTCTGAATGCCCCAATCTCAACTTTTCCAGCCGAAACAGTCCTTGTTGGATCAATAACAACCCATTAAAACCCATAATATAAACCCATCATATTTGCAACTCATTTCAAATTTATTTTATGAAATCCATCAAATTTTCAACACATCACATTTTTTGAAATACATACAGAAATAGAAACCCATTTCAATGATATCAAAACCCATCATATTTGCAACCCATTTCATAGGTTAGAAGAGTGAAAGGGCAAAGGAGAATAGGAATGTCACCTGTGAAGAGTTATTGGAGATTGCAGAACCGAAACCGAGAGAGAAATTTAAGCTAAAACCAGTGAGGAAAATGGAGAGTTGCTGGAAAATGGAGAGTTGCTGGAGTTGCTAGAGCTAAAACCAGAGAGAGATATGAATGTATCTCTTAATCTCTTAACATGGGAAAGGGAAATAGAGGAAGTGAAAAGACACATTTTTGGGGGAAAAACAAAATCAAAGAAATTATCTTGACCCTTAGATACTTGCCAAGTATGATCTCAACCCTTAATTCAAAATGTATCTCTCATACATTTAACACATTTTTAAAAAGTCTCTTGCCTTATTATATAGATATATATATTGAAAATATTTAAATTTTTTATATGTAGTTTGGTTATTGTGATAGATTTTAGTTGTTAAAGCAACTTGTCATCGTGGTAGCAGTGGGCTTTAATCATTGATGGTAGGTTCAGTCTTAGTCTTTAGAGGTAAAGATGACGTGACCAAAAAAAAAAAAAAAAAGAGAAGAAAAGAAAAGAAAAGAAAAGAAAATAAATTAAAGATTTTTAAATTTTATGTTTATTTCAATAAGTGTATTAGGAAAATATAATATAGCTTAAATATAGTTAAAATTCTTGTTTTGAAATTTTATCTACAATCTCTTTTCTTTTTTTAAAAAATTTAAAGTTAGATATGGTTAAATAGGCCAATAGTTTTACATTACATGTAAATTTTATTTTTCAAAAAAAAAAATAAAAAAAATCATGAAGTAAATTTGTTCAAAATTTCAAATTATATAAGATTAAAATTACACTTAAAATTTTCATGTAAATATTTTTAAATTTCAAATTAAATGTGACTTAAATATTGATAAAAAAATATGACTAAAATGTATTTTTTGACTTTGTATATTTTTTTTTTTGAAATTTAAAAATATAGATATAGAATATATCTACCATAGATTCCATAAATAGTTTATAAATTAATAAATTTAAAAGCTTTTTCAAATTAATAAAGGATTCAATTAAAACATTAAATGAAAAAACCAATGATAATGTGCCATTTTATAAATTCTAAATTCAAAAAATTATGAAAATAGAGTTAAAATTTGAGGCTTAAAGACTAAAACACATTTTTACTTATATAATAGTTTAAATATTAAATATATAATGCTAGCATAAATATACATGGTTTTTCAACAAAGAATCAAAAATATATATTGAAATTAAACAACAACAAAAATCCGAATTTATAACAACAAAAAAAAAATGAAAATTGAAATTAAATAAATATACTATTTTCATATACTTAAAAGTAGGACAAATTACATCCGTACCTGTATTTTAGTCTCTGTGTCAATTTGGTTATTATAATTTCAGTCGACTCGATTTTGATTTTAAATTTATGATTTTGTCTCAATTTAGTCAAATTGAATAGAGTTGTTAGCATTTTTTAATGAGAAATACAAAAATAAGTAGCTTATGTCATGAGTTTAGGGTCAAACTTATAATTTTTTTTAACTCAGTGAGTAAACTTCAACTAATTTAGTGACCAATTTTTCGCCCAAAATACTAGCAGCGTTATCAATTGGACAAAAATTGAGTCAATTAAAAGTGTATGAACCAAAATGACAAAAGATATAAAATATAAAGGCTATTGGTATAACTTACACTTTAATTATTATTTTTTTATTATGCTGCCATTAATATTATGCAATGTTACAATATTTTCCTCAACCATATAATAACACTACCTATTACTAAAATTTCCTTAAATTTACGTAAACATCATAAAATTTCCTTATATATTGCACGGTTTTCTCAAATAAGTCAGCTTTATGTAGTCATTATAAAATTTAAGAAAATGATACTTATTTTAGTAATATATTTTTGACAATTATTAAATATATTTTGGACTACTCATAAAATGACATGTGTGTTCCAAGTGTTATAAAACTAAGAAAATATTTAAAAAGAAATATTGAGCTTTTGATACTACAGGAAATTCACTTTTTAGCGGCGTTTTTAAAACTCTGCAAAAAACTTGAGAAACGCCGTAACATCTTATAGTGACGTTTATTATTTTCGTCGCGGATACGGTCGCCGCAATAGCTTTCCAGCGTTTGAAAAACGTCGGTAAAAATATTAGACGGTATCTTTGACATCCGTCTCACTTCCGTCCAAAATTAACGTGTGATGTCATAATGACATCATTTAGTAGCGTTTTTTCAAAAAACGGCACTTTTTTTTTTTAATATATTATTTGTCCTGCTGTTTCAAAAAATTGATGTGTACAATGACATCATTTTTTTTTTGGTCACGCTGATATTTCTCTGTGCTGCTACTACTAGAAACTGGATTCACAATTTGGGATCTCATGTTTTATGTTTCCTCTATGCAACCAAACTGCTAGATTTATAAGCAATTAGGACCCCAAATTTTCCATTTCTTTGCCTTTTTTCTGGTCATCTGCAGTGACCAACTAGTTCAAAAACTTCGCCTAAAATCCAACCAGTGAAATTTGTGCTTAAGCAATGTATAAAGCTAGTGATCATGTGCCTCTTGGCACTTTTTCAACTAAATTATCAATACAAACATCTAGTAGGAAAACATCAAAAAAATAATCCACTTCTGACTGCATACGGTCAATCCTCTCAAGGCATTATGTAGGCGGCGGCCCAAGTCGGTGATCCTGCCGACCATCTGCAAAACAAGTTGGGATCGTCAGATACCATAGGCAAGCAAAATCAAAACAAGTTAAGGTCACCTACCAAAAGGGCCGACGGCGCAGATAGGGCTACGGCCACCAAATCCAGCACGGCATGAAACGATGCCTTATTAGCCGGTAGGGAGACTGAAGCCGCCAAGCTCAACGCTACCGCTGGGTCGGTAATGATGGATGCGTCAGAGGAAATCGGCGTGCCTCTCATCTTTGGCTGAACAATGAAAGGAACAACCACGTCCGAATTTTCTAAGCGAGGCCTTTTGTCAGCAGGACAATGACCTCTCCCTCGGCGCTACGCTTCTTGCCCTGCTCTTCCGGAATCAACCGTTCTTCAATGACCGGTTGTTCAACCTCTTTCGCCGTTTCGACCGCAACAATCTGAACCGGCTCTTCAATAACGGATTTGAAAGACTCAATCATGACGGGTTCAGAACGGTTTTTTCGGGCGGCTATTCGCTCGGCATTTTTCTTTCGAGCCATCTGCGTGAGGTTTTCCCCAGCCATACTTTCAAAAAAATCAGCGGGTAGGTCTCCCAAACTTGCAAAAATATCTCCAAAAGAAAACTCTGCCCGACCCGAAATGGACGGTGAGGCAGGCTGATTAAGTCCGGCTACATTAAACGCCGAGTTTAGGTCCTCGTCGACCTCTTTGGCCTCCTCAGCGAACTCTCTGGCTGGTTCGGCCACTACCTTTACCACCGGCGCCACGTCTTGCCCCAAATCAGAAGTTTCGAGACCAACTTGCCTAAGGCTCTTGAAACTAGGGAAGATAAGAACCGCAAGGTGTTGATCGCCGGGTGGAATTGGAATGTTGTCCGCGGCCGAAAAAGTAGTATAAGTATCGAAGAAGTATGTGGGCCACTCTCCCTTGCTTCTGTATGTTTGGACAGCCGAAGTACCCGAGTGCAATCGCAATCTGCGCAAGGACTGCGTCGTCAGTAGAAGTCAGAATCTTCTTTAATTTACTGCCTGCAAAGACAAAGGGTTAGACTTGGAGATAAGGCCGAGTACAAGAAAAGTTCAATAAACGCAAGGCGATACACGGCCACTTGGTTCACCCTTCCATCTGGGAATAGGGTCTAGGTGGTCCTCGCCTTCGCCAAATTCCCAGTTCCCTCGGACATTGACCATTACGTCATCCACTCGCTTGCCAGAACTGGCAAGCATGAATACCAAATGATGGTCAGTATCCTTGGCCCTAAGAAAGTATCGTCTGAGCCGACCGGAAGATTTGGCTAAAGCATAGTAGTGCCGAATAGCCAGAATGCCAAGATCGATCCTGAGGCACCGGTTCAACTTTACAATCCCCATTACGATTCGAAAAAAATTCATATTGGGCTGAGAAGGAATCAGACCCCAATGGCGGAGGACGGTCCCAAGGAATGGATGTAGGGGAAAACGAACTCCGCCCTCCGCAATGGATAGGAGAGGCAAGACGATTGTGTTGCGATCCTCTCTCTCCATATCTAGAGTATTGTCCGTCACTAGAGATAGATGAACATCATCAGGAATAGAAAAATGTCGTCGGAATCCCGAAATACGACCTTTGGAAAGGAGGTCTTTCAGGTGCTTAGCCATTTTAGCAAAGATCCAAGGGTATACCAAAGCTAAAATAAGCACGGAAAATAGGATCGCAAAGAAAGAAAGAAAACTTACGAGAGGTGAAGAAAACGAGGATAGACGGACAAAAGTTGCAGAGAAAAGCGTCAGAAGAGCGATACCGGCTGGGAATCCAGGAGGCCCAAGTATTCGAGAAAAGCATGCATTCGAAAGGACTGGAGTTTCAAATCGTATTAAATGCAAAAGGTGCACGAATGAGGCGGGAAAGCATAATGATGACCAAAAAGACGTGCGCGCTCTGACACATTGGGATAGGCAGAGCCGCCTAACTTATGTCTTGGCTTTTCAGAATCAAAACCAAACACGCCAGTTAACTACTGTCAATGGCGAGTTTGGGGGGCAATTGTGGAAGCCGAATAATTGGCAATGTTGGAAAGAGCGTACACTGTAGAACAGACACTATTCGGCTTTATCCGGCGCGCTCAAGAGGCCAAATACAATAGATAGGCCGGATAAGTGTAAATCCCTGGAGCCGAATATGAGAGAGGACAGCTCAGGAGGCCGAATACAATAGATAGGCCGGATAAGCGTAAATCCATGGAGCCGAATATGAGAGAGGACAATGAGTAACGAGTAGGACCTGGCCCCGAGGTCCAGGAAACGAGTATAAATACAGGAACTACAGATAAAGAGAGGGGGAGAAAAAAAGAAGGGTAAGAATTTCCTTGTTTAACTTAGAATACAAATAACCTAGAGCTTGAGACTGACTTGCCCGTCGGAGTGCTAATTCCGGCACCTACGTCGGAGCGTTTATTTCCTTTCAAGTGACTATCTGAGGACTCCTAGCGTCTCCCAAGATCCGAAGAGTATTTTCAAACCACTTCCACACATTACCCATATTCGATTTGTTTTATCTACTAAGATTCACTAATTTAAATATGATCCAAAGCAATTGATCCCGATAATACTCGCTCAAAACCCTAATAAGACATCACTAACTCCTTATTCCTATAATATGCTTCTTTTTCGAGGTTTATAATTCTCATTCACTTCCAATATTGTTTCCTCCTCGCAAACCTTGCTTTCTTTTGAATATGTCTACCTGAAAAATAATATGCAAACTAATTATCTTTTAGGATTCCAAAAACATACAAAACAATAGATTTTGCTAAACGATAAGAAATATTTTCTTGTGCCTAAGAACAGATACAAACTGAAAAGGTACATATGTTAACGTGGGAAATTGTTATTTAACCACGAATTGGTTAAAATGACATTTAATTATATAAATGAACCTGGCATATTATTATCGTAGAAAATTCTGTATAAAAATTGTGCCCAATTTTTTTTAAAATTTTCGTAGGAAGAATAAGTTTGTATGAGTGGGTTCAGGAAAGTTGTTGGAAAATTCGAAGATCCTTGAAGAAAAATTCGAATTCTCTAGAAGATGGTGAGAGGCTTAGATTCTTCAATAGTCTCAACTAAGAACACAAAAATAAAGAGATGATGGAGATAAGAGATTGGGTGAAGAAGAAGGAAAAATAGTTAGAGAGAGAATAATGGCAAGACTCTCCCATGGATCTCCCACTTTCACTCTCAAGGTTGATAATGGAGAAGGGAAATTAGTTTTTTCCCAAGAGTTATCTCTCCAAAATCCATCCCTTGTAAATCTATGGGTGGGTGCTATTTATAGGGACCTCATGATGTAAGATGGAGCCCATGTGGAAGGCACATGAGGAATATTCTCTCTAACCACCTTGTCCGAGGAGGTAACCTCTCCGAAGATGAGGAAAACCCTTGAAGAGGAGATCAACCTCTCGGCGAACCCTTCTTCTTAGCCACACCTAACCAATGATCCCTAATCATCCCAAAGGGTCAGGGGTAGTCCTAGAGGATGTCCTGCCGCAGAAGGGTCAGGGGTAGTTCAAGAGAACGCCTTGCCGCAAATATTGCCGAGTCTCAGGGACTTCCTAGATCGTGCCACATCGACCTGGGTATAGGCTAGTTTAACCGAAGAGTGAATTTATCTCCACTCACCGTCCTCGGGATCGGGTCCTTTGTTCGAACTCCATTACGCCCATGGTTCTAGTGCGTAGATCCCAGAAAACTCCGAGCCCACAAGTGTTCTGGGACTCATTAACGGAGCAACTTTTAGATTGCGTCTGAATCCGTTTGAAGCCAAGTGCTTCGGACCTCTAGGTTCGTGGACCTAAACCCTTTTGAGTAGTAGTCCTAGTAGGATTGTGCCACTCGAAACCTATAAAAGCTCACAAACATCACCTTGGAGGAGGGAACACATAACTTTGCTTTCTGAATTCAGAGCTTTGTCTATTTGTCAAGTTTACTGACTTAGGCATCGGAGAGGTTTCCGGCACACACCCGCCGGCTAGCTCACGTTTGTGTTTTCAGGTGATCAAGCGACGTCGTACGGAGGAGCACAGACTTAGTCAACAGGATTATACGAGAAGGTTTATTTCTTTCCTGTACAATTGGTGCCGTCTGTGGGAATAACAGACAGAACAAAACCTCTTGATTAAAGCTTCTCCCCTTTACGATTAATGGCACACATTGAAGAATTGCCGTAGTCCGCCGTCGACGGGCTAACTCCAGATGGGGGCGCAAGGCGTGAAGGATTACCCTCTGTCCCTCCCATGGCGGACTTGGAGCCCTAGCGACATAACACCAGGAGGGATACTAGGGGGAGACGAACTAACAGCCCCCGTCACTCTCGTTCGCAAAGTCCTGATAGGCAAAGACGGAGGATTGATCCTCAAGCTCTGGAAGATCGCGTGAAAGAGCAAGATGAATTGATAAGAAAGATGGCGGCGGACATGGAGGCCTTGAAATGCCAGATGAAGAAAAAAGAAGTGGCGACAGGAGAGGGGCGCAAAAACAAGACGCCCCCTCGCCACTCAGAAAATCGTAGTAGGAATATTACACCCTCGCAAAGAGAGAGCAGAAGCCTTAGGACAGGCGACACTCAATCCTGGTCTTCCAGAACTCGTCACTCCAGGTCTGAGAGGACGAGATCTGAAAGATCATACACTGAAGGAAGCACGTATTGGCCCTCGCATTCGCACCAAACCAAATCTAGACAGACGGAATTACCCAGATCATCCGACTTACGAACCGTACTCGAAGAGAAAGCACGATGCAAGGAGGATGCCAGGGTGCGGGATCCGCACAGAGTTTCTGCCTTACAGCGGTTGGCTCCTCGGACGCATGGAAGTGTCGAGGTTGGAATGCCAATACCGCGCCCTGCCTACGAACCAACGGACAAGGCATTAGCAAGGCTACAGACTTCACTGTTTGTTCCGGCGATTGAAAACGCGCCCCTACCATCAGGCTTCCTTCAACCAAAATTCGCTACATATGAAGGGAAGACGGATCCCTACTCACACTTGAGCCACTTTCGCCAAGTCATGGCTGTATACAGACGAAACGAGGCCTTGATGTGCATACTCTTCCCATCAAGCCTTGGCGACCTAGGCTTGACTTGGTTCGAGAAACTTCCTGAGCGCAGCATAGCCTCTTGGGCGCAATTAGCAGAGGCCTTTGTAACAAGGTTCCGAACAAACACTAAAACCCCGGTGGAAATCGACCAACTGCTCTCCATCGACATGGGCGATAAAGAGACCCTCAGATCGTACAATAGTCGCTACTGGGAGACATTCAATCAGATTGGAGACTGTCCCACCAATCTAGCCATTGCGCAGTATAAAAGAGGCCTACACCCTTTAATATTATTGGTTGAAATTTGAGAGGGTAATTTATGTGAAAATTGGACCGAGTTGGGAAATGGGTCATTATGGCACATCAGGGTAGAGGATGATGGTGCATGTGCCAAAGCAAAATCTTGT